CTCTATCACACACTCGTCTGCACACAATACATCTACTGTACACCTCCCTGCTCTGTGAGTGTGTGTGTGTGTGTGTGTGTGTGTGTGTGTGTGACCATCTTAACAAGTCCCACACCACTTGCACCATTTGATGTGAACACACAGTGCGCCGCCTGAGGCCAGAGGTGTCACTAATGTGGATTACAGCAGTAGCTGCACAGAGACACTGAGGCTTCGTCTTAAAGCAGAACAACAGTTTCCACGTCCAGGACGTCCGACCTGAGTCTGAGGTTTACAAACAGGAGATCAGAGAACAGACGTCTTCCACCACATGTTCTGTTCATAAAAACAGGTTTCCAACGTTACCTGCTGAAATAAAGCTTCCTGTTACTGAGCATCACTGTCCTCTGCTGACGTTATTTTACCTGCTTCCAATACAAATCAACTTGTTTGGATTTCTCTGATTTCAGTTTTCTTTGGAGCTGTGTAATCTCATGTTATATATCTAAATTAACTGTATGTGTAATTCAGATATGTTGTGTTGACATTGTTGTGTCATTATTTGTCTTTGGCTCATCAGAAACTCCTCTATTGAAAATCTAACTTTTGAACACTACACAGTGACTTTAGGACCCGACCACACAACAAGTGTCACCGTCTCATTATTGTTTGTTTAGTTTTAAATTGTTGTTATTCATTTTCATTTATTATTTTGTTGTTTGTTCACAGACGTCGTGAATCGATGTTTCTCTCTGTGGTGAAATAAAGAATCCAAACTGAACATGGAGGTTGGTAGGTGATACAGTGATCAGTGACATCAATCAGTATGTTGACATATTGATCAGGTATTGGCCCCACAACTGCCACCAACTAAACACACACACACACACGCACACACACACACAGCTGATGACCTCTCTTTTGTCACGTCCTTGGGGACCAATCAGAGTTAAGATGTCATTATGACATCACTCTTACATGTAAACATTACAATAAAACGGAACGAGTACTGTAAGTACTGTGAGTACTGTGAGTACTGTGAGTACTGTGAGTACTACAAGTACTTCTACAGCTTCCCGTAAAGTGACAGTACTTACAGTAGTAGAATATTATGTGGTATTTTCTGTGGGTAGTGGAAGTATTATTACTACAATATCATACAAATTTATATAATAAAGTATATAACATAACAAAGAATTAGTAAGGTATTTGTGTATTAGTACTGTCTTTGTGTGTATTAGTACTGTACTGTACACTGAGCTGTGAGATGATGCTGATTCAGCCTTCACTCTGCTCTGGGGAAGATGAAGCACACACACACACACGCACATACACACATACACACATACACATACATACACACACGCACACACACACACACACACACACATACACACACACGCACACACACTCACACACATACACACATACCCACATATACACAAATACACACACACGCACACACACATACACACACCTACACACACATACACACACACACACATATACACAAATACACACACACACGCACACACACATACACACACCTACACACACATACACACACACACACATATACACAAATACACACACACACGCACACACACACACACACACACACACACACAGTCAGCTGATGAACAACTGGAGCACAGTCTTTTATAACGTCAGAACGACTCAGCAGCTTCAGGAGCCAATAAGAATCAACCGAGGTGACACCAGTCTGACCAGTAACAGCTCCAGTCGAACCAGTAGAACCGAAATGTTTACAGGTGAAAATATTCATTATTAATCTTGATCAATAAAAACATGTTTGTGAAAATTGTTAAATTATATATACATATATATATATATATATATGTTAATTAGAAAATAAATGAATGAAGTCAGATGTGAGTGTCTCATGTTACATGACACACACTCTCAGTTACAGTGTGTCAGTGACCTCTGGTGGTCACTCAGTGTTATTACAACCAACCAATCCACACACACACACACACACACACGTTATATTCTATTACAGACGTTATTTTGTGACAAAGTTCGAGTCTGAAGTAAAAACATCACGTGACATTTTCATGTGAAATATTAAATTCCACGAGTTTCTAAAATGAACAAACACAACAAACCTGACTTACACCTGTCTCACCTGTATGTTCTCTGTGTCACCTGTGTGTTACCTGTCTCACTCACCTGTAGGGCATGAGGTTCTGCTCCATGGTGATGTCACACTCCTTCAGGTAGATCTCAAGTCGTCGTCTCTCCATCAGTCTCCTCGCTGCCTCCAGGATCTGCGATGCCAACGCTGACTCTTCTTTCTCTTTCGTTTCTTTCTTCCCCTCACCTTTGTCCGCTTTCCCAGAATTCCCTCTGCTCACCTTTGGCTTCTTGGTGAACCCATACAGCTCCTCCACCGAGAATTTCCCGCCTTTTCCTCCTGCAGCTGCCGCAGGACCAACGGCAGCTCCCGCCGCAGATGCCCGGCCCGCAAACATGGCTGATGGTGAACACAGAGCGACAG